AAACTGTTTAAAGAAGACATTTTTTCTATAGAAAACTGCCTAAGACACTTTTGTATAGAAAACTGTATAAAAACGATTTTCTATAGAAAACTGTCTAAAAAAGGCACTTTTGTATATAAAACTGTCTAAAGAATACACTTTTCTATAGAAAACTGTTTAAAGAAGTCTCTTTTCTATAGAAAACTGAAAGAAGACACTTTTTTTATTTGAAACTGTATAAAGAAGACGCCTTTCTATAGTAAACTGTATAAAGAAGACACTTTTCTATAGAAAACTGTATAAGGAAAACATTTTTCTATAGAAAACTGTATAAAGATAACACTTTTCTATAGAAAACTGCATAAAGAAGACTCTTTTTTTTATAGAAAACTGTTTAAAGAAGTCACTTTTCTATAGAAATCTGCTTAAAGACACTTTTCTTATAGAAAACTGTTTTTCTATAGAAAACTGTTTAAAGAAAACACTTTTCTATAGAAAACTGTTTACAGAAGACACTTTTCTATATAATCCTGTCTAAAGAATATACTTCTCTATAGAAAACTTTCTAAATAAGACACTTTTCTATAGAGAACTTTCTTAAGAAGACACTTTCTATAGAAACCTGTTTAAAGAATACATTTCTCTATTGAAAACTCTTTAAATAAGACACTATTCTCTGGAAAACTGTCTAAAGAAGACACTTTTCTATAGAAAACATCTAAAGAAACTTCTATATAAAAAACTGCTCAAAAAGGAAAACAAATTCTCTAAAGGAATCTACTTTTCTATTGGAACTCTCTAAAAATTAAATTTTTTTTTAAACTGTCTACAGAAAAAACTTTTTTAAACAAAAAGCATTGTAACGCCTATCTTTGGATAGGCGTTATTCTAAGGAATCAGTCTTATGATGATACTTTTCGTGTAAATAAACCATTATGTTTACTACAGTTTTCTATAGGACATGTCTTTTTCCCTTAACTAATATTGTACTCACTTCAACCAAAGTATACCCCTTAAAAAATAAATGCATTGAAGCATTAAAAAGGAAGTGCTTACATTTTAAAATTTCAATTTAATTTTTTACTTTTTATACAGTCACTAGTATTTTTTTCCTTTAACTTTAAAACATGTTTTATTCATACAGGCTTTGAAATTTGAAATTTTAAAAGGCTACATGCTGACATACAACAACAAAGTTAAAAATACATTTTTAATCATTTTTATTTAAAAGTTCTCATACTTTCTTTTCTCTTTCAAAAAAAAAAAAATTCTAAAACTTTAAATGACTTTAAATACGACTTCATTTAAACAAAAAGTCAAAAATTTTTTAAAGTACCCCCATCCTCCTCCTCTCAAAGGTGTATTTAAGCGCAAAGTTTGAATTGTTGTGCAAAACAATTGCGAGGGTTTGATGCTTTTCTCAAACATTTATTGATAATTTGGGTTAAAGTTTTATTTTGATCAGAAATTATTTGAAAAAAGTTTTTCTTTTTTTCACTTTTTTGTTGTTAAAAGCGAAGTTTTAATAGCTTATTAGCTAATGACTTTTTACTTGTTGCTGCTGTAGTATTATTTTCATTTCATTACTTTATATGTATGTATCTTAACAATTACCAGGGAATCTTTAGGCAAATGAAAATAAGATAAAGAAGGGAGCAGTGAAGTTTAAAAGAAAAGTGCTAATTTTGAATAAAAACAGTAATTTTTCAAAAAAAGGGATTTATTCAATTTATTTTCAATTATCTATCAGAAGAAAATTTCTATAGACAGTGTTATCTTAAAAGCTTTTCTTTATTAAGTATTCCCTAACGACGTTTCTAACAATGCTTTCCTTAGGCAGTTTTCTAGAACGTTGCTTTCGTTAGGCAGTTTTCTACAGAACAGTGTATTCTTTAAAAAATATTCATAGAATAGCTTTCTAAAGACATTTACCTATCAGACAGTGTTTTTTATGAACAATATTCTTTGAAGCAGTGTACCTTGAAGTCAGTTTTCTTTGAAGCTGTTTTATTAACAACTATTTTTTTTTCCCAAATTGTCTCCTCAACATACATATGCATGTATGTCTTAATATCAAAGTCCGTTTAAAGACAGTTTCTTCAGTGCAGTGAGAGAGACACTTTTTTAAAGCAGTTTTTCTTTGAAACAATTTTCAATCGCCTTCTCAATACAATTCTCTGTATACTCTTTTTAAAAAGCAGTTTTCTTTAAAACAATATTTCCCATAGATAATTTTCTTTAAAAACTAGTCTTCTCAATACAGTTTTCTATAGAACAGTGTATTCTTTCTATTGAACACTGTTTCCTTAAAGCAGATTTGTATAGAACAACTTTGGAGAGATTGCTACTGAACAACCATTTTTCCAAGACAATGCTTTATATAATAGGATCGATCCTCTTTAGACCGTTCTTTATGGAATAAATAATTTTTATTATGATTTTCTATAGAACAGTTCCTTACGCAAAACATTTTACTATATAATTAGTTTAATTAGACAGTTTTCTATTGAACAGTGTGGCGACAAAATTTGAAAAAAGTCAAAACTCTGAGATCAAGTTAGTCGTTTCTAAAGGATTGAGATTTTCTCCATCACATCTGGGATTTGAGATATCGTGTCCTGAAATTTGAGAAAACGTCACTGTTGGCCCTTTTTAAGATATTATAACAGTGCCCAGACAACTTCATTTATAAATCTGTAAGTCCATTCTATTAATTTTAAAATAGAGGTTTTAAATCTTCATATCTTCTGTTTTCTTAGAGATATCTTCACAAAAAGCTTAAAAATTTATGGTTTTTGGTATATTGATGGTTTTTATAACCTGAACTACTATAGTGCGGATGGTATTATGCTTTGAAAATATTGTTTATAACGAACAAAAATATAGGATCCAAACCTGTCTGACAATGTTCCAGTCGACTTAAAATCACCTTCTGATTCGACTTAACGATGTCTGTCCGTCCGTCAATTTCAACGGAGCTACAACAGAATTTAAAACAATTCAAAAAATATTTTCATAGAAAAAATTATGTTAAATAAAACCGAAATTATAAAATTTTACGAAAAAACACAGTTTTTGTCAATTTTGTTGTCATATCTAGCTTTAGGTGAAGAGGAATGTAGATATGTCAGTTGTAGATATGTCAGTCTGGCTTTCAGATATCATACATCGTCTCAATAAGGGCCAAAAATTCCGTTTTTTCAAATTTCAGGGCACGATATCTTTAATGCCAAATGTGATGGAGAAAATCTCAATCCTTTAAAAACGACTAAGTCTCAGAGTTTTGACTTTTTTTAAAAATTCGTCGGCCTGTGTTGACAGAAGAGACTTTCAGATAGCATACAACATTTTTTAAAGAAATTTGACTCCGGGTAGTTATAACATCTCAAAAAAGATACGATATCTAAAATTTAGAGGGTCTCAATCCTTTAGAAAAGTCTACTTTCTGGGTCTCTGGGTTAAAAATTTGTCAGCCTATGTTATTAAACGAGAGGGAAAAAGAAATATACACGCCTGGTACCAAATTCACACCAAACTGTTTATAATTTTTCAATAACATCCGTTGTCAAAGTATATACATACGTACGACAACACTATGTAATGTGACAAACATGATAAACAATCCGTTGCCAATAGTGAGCTTGCTACGTTTGTTAACATTTAGACAACGGATGTGTATAAAATTTAGATTTCGACAACGGATCGTTGCAATGTTGACAACATTACATAGTGTTGTTGTACGTATGTATATACTTTGACAACGGATGTTATTGAAAAATGATAAAATCTTTGGTGTCAATTTGCTACCAGGCGTGTTAAGTACACAGAGGGAAAAAGAAATTCCCTCTGTGTACTTAAGGCAGTTTTCTAAAGGAGAGATGCATTCTTAATACAGTTTTCTATAGAACAGTGTATGTTTTCATAAAACATTATCATCTTAAAAGCTCAATTTTCTATAGAACTTTGTCTATTATTGATGGATTTTGTACGACAAACATTTTATTATCCCAAAAGAAGTAACTTTTCTCTAGGTTATTCTTCAAAATATAAACATTTTTATAGAGAATTGTCTACAAAAGGCACATTTCCATAGAAATAAAATAGAAAATGGAATTTTCTATAGAAAACTGTCTAACATAGAAACTTTTCAATAGAAAATTGTCTAAATCAATTTTATAGAATTGTCTAAATAAGAAAAAAATATTTTATATAGAAAACTTTCTAAAGAGGAAATTACTTTATAGAAAACTGTCTATACAAGAAACTTTTCTGTATAAAATTGTCCAAAAAATAATTTTTTCTATTCAAAACTTTCCAAAAAAATGTTTTATATTGAAATCTGTCTATAGACGACATTTTACTATAGTGACTATCTGCCAATTATCTATAGAAAACTCTAAAGAAAGTTTTTAGACAACTTAAGACAGTTTTCTATAGAACAGTGGGTTCTCAATATAGTTTTCCATAAAACATTATCTTAAGAGCGGTCCTTTTAAGAACTTCTTTCTTTAAAAGTTTGTCTATTATACGCAGTTTAGAACAACAGAAACTTTCTCCGAAAACTTTCTAAACAAGAGCGTGATCTTCGAAATACTTGTTCCAGACGGTCAGAGTTGTCATAGAATCCAATCATTGTCGGAATTAGTTTTAAAAAGGACCAAAAAAATACATTGGTTAGTTTCATGAAATCTTATATTTTCGTTTTTTTGCTCGATTATGAATCGTGTTCTAGATCGAACACAAAACTGATAATATTAGATTTTATTAAATCTGATCGTGTTTTTTAAAGCTTTCAAATCGAATTCCGACAATTATTGGATTCTATGTTCTAGGCAGTTTTCTAACAGTTTTCTCAACTCAGTTTCCCGTAGAAATGATTAATCTGAACATTGTATCTTATTTCAGAAGTTTTGATTAAAAGTTGTCTTTATTAAATAATTGTGTTATTTAGATCCTTTGGCAGAAAAAATCCTTTAAAACGTTAACCTCTATTTTAAGCTCCACTGTATTCATATAAATACCTTTAATAGTATTTCCAAGTTTAATCATCATTCATAGAAATTTTTACCTGAAAGGAGATAAAAAAAATAAAATTCTTAAGTATTTTCTATATAATATTTAATTAGATTGATTGATAGGATTGATAAAACAACATTTCAAGTAGACTTTTAAGTTACAAAACTAAAGAAAGAAAAACTTTTCAAGTGTAAAAATTAATCTGTATAAAGTAAATAAAACATACAACCAAACCCACTTTCCACTTAAAAATACAGAAAATTTTCCTTGTACTAAAACTACTGTTAACGAGAACCCATATCAAATGTATAACAGACAACTGAAGAAAATCCACAGAAAATAAAAATAAATCTAAAGAAAAAAATCTGTAAAAATATTTATGTATTTTACAAAATGGGTTCAAGTTTATTTGCATTTCGAGAATCTGGGTAGGTATGTGTGTAAATATCCATATGTAAAAAGAAAATGTGTAAATTGTAACCACTTTTGACCATGTGTAAAATTTGTACATGTTTATGTGTTTATTAACTACATATGTACATATGCATGTTGGTGTGTATGTGTGTGAAAGTGAACACTTGCAAATATGTGTATGCCAAATGACTATACAATGAATTCATTTGTAACCACATGTTATCGTTTACTCCGGTATAAACATTAGGTAGACTCTGTCTTTATGAAGCCTAAAAAGCTTTCGAACTTTCCATTGGCTTCTTATTAGCGTTTAATATCCCTTGCAGCGACTATTACTTATATTCCTCCTTACTTATAAGTAGTTTAGTAATGTGTGATTCATAATCTCTTATAAAATTATTCATTTCTGATATTTAAATACTCTCTGATAACTACCCTTAGAGATACCAGCTAATATATTACTCTATGTCCTTTCTATTCCTACATTTATATCCTTCTATTTCTGTCTTTCTGCCTGAATGTTAATGTAAATATTTGTTGGGTCAACCAAAAAACAAATTTTTGACACACTAAAACATGAGCAACAACAACAACACCAACATCATTGGGAAAAAATGAACTTGTTGAAATAAAATTGAATTCAAGAGAATTTAAATCAACAGAACAAAACCAACACTCACTCAATGAATATGTAAATCACATAGAAAATTTAAATAATCATAGAAAAACCACAAAATATCCTTCTGTAACATATTGTTGTCATAACAGTGGCAGCAGACAGGCTACCAAAAAAAGGATTTGGGTAACTTTTGTGTATAATTATGACAACAGCAGAGTTAAACTAAAAAGCATAGAGTTGGGATAAAGTGTTCAGTTTTGAAGTCAATATAAAATTCAAATGAATTCTCGTGATAGTTTTCTATAAGAGAGGGTTTTATTCTAATATTTTTGTATAGAAAGAGTTCTTTCCTAAATGACTTTCTGTAGAAAAGTCTATTCTTTTCTAAAGAATAGAGTCGTATTATCATGAACAATCTTTATCTCTAGAAAATGGCATATTTTGGAACCTTCTAAAGACATTGTTCTATAGAACGGTGTTTTGTTAACACAATTTTCTATAGAACTTTGTTAAGACAAATTTCTATAGGTCAACGTTTTATAATAGAACAGTATTTCAGTATAGTGTTCTCTTAAGATCATTTTTACAGAACAGTAGCTTCTCAAGACAATTTTATAAAATACAATATCTTTTTGATATAGTTTCCTATAGAATAATGGGTTCTTAAGACAGTTTTCCATAAAACAATACAGTTTTCTACGAAAGAACTTTTTAAAGAAAATTGTTTTTTCCAAACAGTTTTCTGGGTGTTTTCGATAGGATTTCTTCTTCTTAATTATTTCTTTTTAAATAGTTTTTATAGAACAATGCATTTTAGGACAGTTTTCAATAGAACAGTGTTTTCTGAAGACAGTTTTCTTTTTATATATATAAATTTTTTGGCGTGTCATAATGTCCATAGACGTTATAACCATTTCAAAAGTGTCACAATGTCCATGAACAATGTGACATAAAGTCCATGGATTTTAGCGAAGTCGGTATTCTAAATACGCCAAAGTTGAAAAAACCTGCGCCCGGCCAAAGGCCGTCTATCTGGGATACTTTTTAAAAGGAATCCAAAATGCAACACACACCAAATTCAGGAGCAATTCTTTTCGGTATAAGGATGTCCCATTCTAAATTAATTTTTCAACACATTTCTGTTTTAAAAGTGTCAAAATGTCCATGAACATGATGACATTTGAAAAAGTGACATAATGTCAAAAAATATAATTTGATGAATGAAAAAGTACCAAAAGTCCCTTTCAGTAGATTCTCATTCACTAAGGTACATTCTAAATTTTATATTTCTATGTTCAATATCGTAAAAATATCAAAAAGTACCATTGGAAAAACGAAAAAGTACAAAAATCTCTCTCAATAAATTCTCATTTAATAAGGACCGTGTGTCATGTGTTCCGTTTAACCATTATACAGAGTATCCAAAAGGTACCATTTGAAGAATCGAAAAGTACCAAAGAGTTCCCACTTACAGAATATTATTATAGGTTGAATATTTTAGAAAATTCTAAAAGTACTATTTATGAGATAAAAAGTACTAAAAAGTTCTCTCTTAAAGAATCTTATTCAATGAGGACGGTGTATGTTTAATAATCATGTGTTTTTAATTCATACACAAAGTGTATCATTTGAAGAAAGAGAAAGTACCAAAAGTGGAATAAATTCTACCTTTGTGGAAAGTACTAATAAAAAGAGTACATTTTTTACCCTTTTCGCTTAGAAATATACTTTTTCGAGAATTAAATTTACAAAATGTTTCGTATTTAAATCTATAAAACTCAAACGATTCGAATTTGCATTAATTTGTTGCAGAAAAATTTTGCTTTCAAAAAGTACCAAACAATTTACTCAAATTTGGTCCTATATAGGCCTTAGTACTCGAATTCCAAAATAATATACCAATAGCTTATTTTGTGTGAGTAAATAACTTACTTTGTCAAAATTTTATAAAAATTGGCACAATGCGTTTGAATAAAATTAAATTTCCCGTTTTTCCCCTTTTTGGTACTTTTTTCCTCAGTGAAATATCAAAAATTTTGTTTCAATAAACATCACAGGGTTAGTCCATAATTTAATAGGAATACTTCAATAAAACGAAAAAGTTTTTTTAATGTGCTAAAAAAAAATTACCAAAATACAGTTTTCTCCCTTTTACACCTAAAAAGGACTGAATTTTTAAAAAGTACGAAACAGGTGTCTCCTAATTTTGGGAGATATATTCAAAATATTTACAAAAATGTTATTTTGTTTATTAGTTACAAAGTTTTAAAGAACCAAAAAAGGTACCAAAATCACCTTTGTTACACATTTTCACCCCTTAAAAGTACGAATTTCAAAAAAGTACCAGAGTAGATACAGGTGCATTTAAAAGTTTTCATGTATCACTAATATTTGGTAAGATAATTAAGAAAACCTGTTTTACCCGTTTTTTCCCCTGTACGATGATGAATCAGTCAGTAACGCTACTCTTTATACCCTACACCACTTTAGTGGGAAGGGTATGTATATTGGGTTTGTGCCGATGTTTGTAACGCACAATAATATTGGTTCTATACCCACCTTAAAGTATACCAATCGGCTTAGAATCATTTTCTGAGTCGATTTAGCTATGTCCGTCCGTCTGTCCGTCCATGTAAAACTTGTAATCAAAGTATCGGTCGCAGTTTTGAAGATAGTTCAATGAAATTTAGTACATGATCTTCTGTTGTCCTAGGGACGAAGCCTATTGAAAATGGTTAACATCGGTCCATTATTTCACCTAGCCCCCATACAACTGAACCCGCCGAATAGGCTTTTTAAGTTCTTAATTATATTTAATATACTCCTATCTCGACAATAAGCTGTAAAACCAAGTTCTATACTAGCCTTAATAACCCTCATGAATTTTATAATTATAGGTCCTCATTTGACCCTAGCCCATACAAAAGCCCCCTTTAAAATTTGACTTAAATATCCACAATTTTATTCCACAATAAATGGCTTAAGTATATCTGAGACAAGGTACAATTCAACTTAAATGCTTCATTATGAAAACTAAATCACATTTTATTTTTGTAACAGGGGTAGGGTATTTTATGGTCGGCCTCGCTCGACTATAATTTCCTACTTGTTTACATATGAAATATAGATTTTTTCTATCATTGTTTTCTATAAGAAAATGTGTTTCTAAAACAATTTTTTATAAAATATGGTTTTCTCCAGATAGTTTTCTATAGAAAAATATCTGATTTAGACAATTATCTAAAGCAAGAAGTTTTCCTGAGACAATTTTGTATAGAAAAGTGTTTTCTTTGTAGAATTTTCTATAAAATATTCTTTTTCATAGAGAGATTTTTATAAAAAATTCATTCTTTAGAAAGTTTTCTATAGAGTTTTCCATAACAATGATTTCTATAGAACACCATCTATAAAAAACATTCTTATATGTATACAGCATTGTCTTCCTATGACGATACTCTATAAGAAAAAGTCTTTTTCAAAAAAAATTTTTTTTTATAAGAATATTTTTTTTTAATTGTCTAATTATCGGTAAAAAAGTGTCAGGCTGCATTATACAGTTTCAGAATACTTCATGCTGTCTTTTATTTAAAAAATCAACCATTTTATAATTATTCCTATAGCGCACTCTTAAAAGCACATAGTTTTAGTGCAATTGCCAGCATACGTGTCATGAAACATAATTGGTACAAAT